GCCGCCGCCGCTGGCACGAGGTTGTGTTGCCGCATCAAACTTATTCCGCTTTACGGCTGGCGGTGGCGGAGGCACGCTGCCGAAGCCGCCAGCCCCACCTTCCATTCCCGACGCCGGCAGTGACGGCGGTGGCCGCGGCGGCGTTCCCGCCGCCACGTCTCGACCTCGCTTCCGTGGTACGGCAGCTGTATCCGCCGCCGTCGCCGGCTTTCTTGTAGCGGCAATGATGTTGCTGGCTGGACGAATGGAGCCTGCGGCCAACCTGGCAGCGGCGGCGGCGGCGGCCGCGGCGGCGGTGGTGTCTGGCGGCGCCGCCACGGCCGCCGACACCTTGCTGACCCCCGTGATGGGAGCCTGGAGCAGGGTCGTTGCGGTGGTTGGGGTCGTTGCGGTGGTTGGGGCCGTTGCGGTGGTTGGGGTCGTTGCGGTGGTTGGGGTGTTTCCCAAGGCGGCGTGGAGGGGTGAGTCTTAAAAGGCCAACCAAAAGCAACATGAAGAAATAAATTGTGTCATGTCAGGAAGGTGGTGGAAAGAGGGCTGTGTACGAGGGAGAAGATCCAGAACGAAGATCCAGGTAAGGGAAAAACGGGACAGGAAAAATACGCCAACTCCGACATACATACTTACCTAACAGCGATTATGCCTTCAAGTCTTAAACCCTCAAACTAACCCAACCCCCCAAACCAAACCAACGCCCTAGCTAGCTAGCCCACCAGAACGCAGCGCTCCACCTCAGCTGCCTCCATCACCCGCCGGCGCTGCTTGCTGGGTGGCACCACAACGCCGCGGCGGTCCAACCACTCGCCGAGCGGTTCGCCGCCGCCGCCGCCGCCGGCCCCCAGGTGGCCAGGCTCCGGAACCACCTCCACTTCCGCCCCTGGCCTCATCCGGATACTGTTCTTCCATTTCTTGCTGGCTCTCATGCCTCCACGGGTTGAGGTGGTGGATGTGGTAGTTGTAGTTGTTGCAGTTATCATCGTCGTGTGGGGTTTTTAAGGGGGAAGTTGAATGACTGAAGTGCAATGGAGTGCGAATTCTGCATCTGACACACGATATGCAGTTGATTGCACCAGTGGTATAGTGGTAGCATAGGTCCTTGCCACGGACCAGACCCGAGTTCGATTCTCGGCTGGTGCATAAGTTCATTTTCTGATTACTTCTTTTCATTCGATCACCTAGGTTGAGCCATCGACAACCTGTCATAATCTGTGGATGCTGGTGGTGGGTGCGAAACCTGAGCGATCCACTGAGAAGTTTTGACTAGGGTGACTAGGCGAGGGTGTCCCACTGGCAGGATCCACCGGTAGGGGCGGCACGGGGGTGAAGATATGAAGATTCCCCAATCCCACATGTTCGGGTGACTGGACGAGAAGGCATCTAGAAAGCAGAATCAACCGCCTTGGACTTGCACAGTTTGTACGACGCAGTACATTCGTTGTGGCTATGGTGTATGGCGCTCTGTGGTGTTCAAACCTTCAATATATCCAACGTGCGCAATCGCCCCAGAAAGTTTTACCTCCCACTCTGTAACAACCAATAATATTTAAATGATCGAAACCTTACACACAACATACAACACAACATAATATTCATTCAATTTTAAGTTTTGGCTTATCAATTCTGTGTATATAAGATCTAGGAGTATCTGGTATGTGTCGCTCCGCGGTACCCTATGCCCACAGGTATTGCCGTACACATGCCGTACACAGTTCGCCATATCCGAGCAGCCTCTGACCTGCATGTTCTTCAAAGCCGATGGGCGTCCAGCAAATCCTCTTGCCGCTCCCAGGCTGTGTACGACAACCGACACAGTCGCAAGCAACTAGTTTATGTCGTAGCAGGAACCAGGCGTCGATGTAGTTGCACGTCACCGGCATCGCCCCGTCGAGCTCACGACCTGCCGCCGCCGCCGCCGCTGCCGCCGCCTTCTTCGCCAGCGATGGGCGACGCTGATTAGTTGCCCTGTCAGTGGCGGCGCCGGCGGCGGCGGCGGCGGACAGAGCCTGCGGATGAACGCGTTTCGCCGCCGTCGCCGCGGCGGTGGCGGCCGCGACGGCAGCGGCGGGGCTGCCGCCGCCGCTATCAGAAGCCGCCATCGGTGAATCGGCCGCCTCCGCTTCCACCTCGAACTCACGCCCTTCCCGGTGGCCCTGACCTCGCTCCTCCTCCTGCTGTTCCTCCTCCGCCTCCTCGTCCTCCTCCGCACACATGCAAGCCTTCACAAGGGAGCTGTGAATGTCGCTCTCGCTAAGCTGGGCGGCAGTAGCACCGCCGCCGCCGCCGCTGCTGCTGCCGCTGCTGCCACCCCCGCTGCTGCCACCGCCGCCGCCGCCACCGCTGCGCCCAACCTTTCTGTCGACGCCGTCATCAACGCTGCCGTCGACGCCGATACTTAGCGAGGGTTGCAGCCCTTCTTCCTCTTCCTCCTCTGCTGCCGCCGCCGCCACCTCTCCTGCCGCTGCGACGCCTCGGCCGGAGGAATCCTGCCCCATGTGTGTGTTTTGCGCTAACGCCAAGTTCCCACCTTCCTCCTCCTCCTCCTCCTCCCGCCACTCCTCAACTAAGAAACCCTCCGCATTGCCGTACGAACCCGCCGGCATGGCCTCTCTCTTTTCTCCTGCACCCGCCGCCGCCGCCGCCGCCGCTGACCCCTCCAGGACGTCACCATCCGGCGTCGCCGATCCGGGCTGCTGGCGGCGTACGGCAGCTTCCGTGACGTCAGTTCCAACGGCGGCGGCGACGCCGCTGCCGCCTCCATCAAAGTACACGTGTGCTACATCGACGGCGCCGATACTAGGGGCCCTGACGCCCACTTGCAGGAGATCTCCCGACCTGGTTGCCGTACGGTTCGTCGTACCATCCGCTGCCGCCGCCGGGCCCACTACATCAATGGGCTCAACGTCAGGACTCTCGATCATGTTTCCATCCGCCGCCGCCGCCGCCGCCGCTGACGTCGACGTCGACGGCAGATGTGGTGATGGCGCGGCCGCGGGCATGCCGCCGCCGTCATGCCGTACTTCCCCGCTTTCCGGAAGATCCGCCAACTGGAGGCCGGAGAACCAGAGCTCCCCGTCATCCCTTGTACGGGCTGTTGCCGTACCACCGCCGACAATTCCGACATCCATCATGTCACCATCCTTGTCGTCGCCAGCGCCGCCGCCGGCGCCGCCATCATCATCGCCGCCGCCGGCGCTGCCACCAGCAATCGCACCTGTTCCGTACGCTTCCAACACCGCCGTCGTACCACCGCACGGGGTTTTGTGATCACCGGCACCACCGTCGAACTCCTCTCCGGAGCCATCTAGCTGTAGCGGCTGTAGTGGCTGGCTGTACGGGCTGCGTATGGATTCCCCGGAGGGCCCCTGTAGCGGTTGTTGCTGTAGCGGTTGTTGCTGTAGCGGTTGTTGCTGTAGCGGTTGTTGCTGTAGCGGTTGTTGCTTGTTAAGATCTGGCAGCTGCAACTTGCTCGGCCGGGCTTGGACGAGCCTGCCATCGCCGCCGTCGGCGCCGCCGCCCCCATCTCTCTCTGCCGCTGACGTCACCGGGGCGGCCGCTGCCAACGCTTGACACAGCTCCTCCTCCCCGCCGCCGCCGCCGCCGCCGCCGTTGCCCACAAGGCCCCCCAGGCCGCAGCTGCTCGGGCCGCCCGGGAAGTCATTTCCCGTTCCCACGTTCTTGGGTGCCGTGGGGCAACGTTGCGCTGTCGGATCCACTGGGGGCGGCGGCGGCGCCGACGGCGGCAGCTGCCTAGCCGCGTCGGCGGCGGGTAGAACGCAACCTGCGGGTGCTGGGCGTCTGCCGCCGCTGCCGCCGGAGCCGCCGCCAGGGGCGGCGGCAGCTACAGCCGCTGATGTTGCTGCTGCTGCTGCTGCTGCCGCTGCAGTTGTAGTTGCCCCCGCTGCCGCGATGGCGGCGGCACCGAGTTGCGGCGCGCCGACAGTCCCCGCCGCCGCCGCTGCTGCTGCTACAGCTATCACGCGTTCCAAGAGGCTCGGAGGGAGCCGCTTTCCGTCTCGCTCGTCCAACTGCCAGTTCTCTTTGTTGAGATTTACTCGCTCTGTGTCGCCGTCGTCGTAGTCAACGCGGTACGGCAGTCGCGCTCTCGGGTCAAAATCCGTCACCGTACCGGAGTAGTACACCTTGTCAATGGGCCAATAAATCCGGACGCGGTGGCCGACCATAGCATGCCCTGCATATTGGATGTACGGCAGTTGGACGAAATTGTACGGCAATACCCGTACAACCCGTTTCGTTTCCACAGGAAACAGAAAAAACAAACACAGACAGCAAACTAATCCATGTCACAATTTCGCGGCCGCAGGACAGTGGCCGACGCAGCAGAAGAACGATGACTGCGACGACACAGCAACACACGCGAATACCGTCAGCTTACTTGTACGGCCATGTAGTGCTACACGACAGTACGACACACCAGGATACGGCAACCGGGCGGTAATAACCCACCCTGCAACTCGGGCGGAACCATCCTGGGGACGTTGGGCGGTAGCACGGGGAAGAGCGCTGCCCGGTGGCGGGGTCCTAGCTGGCTGTAGCTGGCCACCGGAACCGGAGGGGACGCGGCAGTAGCCGGGGGGTACTCAGGACTACTGCCGGGCACTCCGGGGGGAGGCAGCGCCCCCGCCGCCGCCGCCGCCGCCGCCGATGTTGACCTTCTAGTCGGCGGTCCGACACGCATGGCCGCCGCCGCCGTTGGCGGCCTGGAGCCGGCCGCTGCAGCGGCCTCCTGTACCAACGCAGACGACGTGGGTGGCGGCGGCGGCGGCGGCGGCGCTGCGGTGGACGAGCGCGCCAGTGCACTGGGCTCGATTTGTATGTTCTGGATCTCCATGAATCGACCCAGGCTCATACAGCCGTCGGCGGCGGAACCGCCGCCGCCGCCGCCGCCGCCGCCGCCGCTGGAGGGGAGGGACTTGCAGTGCATCCCCGCTACGCGCACGCTGCTCTTCCACCGCTTGTTGGCGCCCATGCCGGCATGGCGCTCGAAATCGAAGGGGTAGAAAGCCTTGCCACGACCGTGCGCCTCAGTCAGGCACCGAGTGCATCTGGGGGCGGGGCGGGGGGGGGCCCGCCACAGCGAACGCCACTCGAATACACACACGCGACGCTCCGGAGCTCACTTCGGCATATGAAGGGTTGTTAATCTTGTGCACCGCCACTGCACCGCTCGTCCGGCGGATCATCTCGCGGCGGCTCCGAAGATCATTAAAGCACACACACCCTACACAAACCCGCGAAACCCTAAAACACACTGACGAGAAGGGGCACCCGGGGGGAGGCCCCCACGGACTCAAGAGCTGCTGGCAAACAGAGCTGATAACCACCACCACCACCACGACCACCACCACCACCACCACCACTACCACTACCGCTACAGGTACCAGTGCCAGTAGGTGTAGGCAGCGGAGGAAGAATGAAACCCCAGCGACACAATTCCCCCCTCCAAACCCCCCTCCTGCCAAACACACACATACACACACACACACACCTGCAGGCGATGATGTACAGGTCTGGATAGAACAGCCCCCTGTAGCCGTTACACTCCACGGCATAGCCCACCGGGGACTGCCGTACCACTGGCAGCCGTTCCCTTGACCTGCTTGCGGCGGCAGTAGCAGCAGCTGTAGCAGCAGTACTGGCCTCCTCTCGATGCTGCTGCAGCGGCAGCTGCTGCTGCTGCTGCTGCTGCTGCTGCTCCCCTCCCCCCCATCCCCGCTCCCCTGCTCGTCCAACTCCCCGGCCACCTGGCTGCCTCACCGCCTCCAGGCTAGCGCACTTTAGCTGCTCCACGACCTCCGGATCTAGCGGCTGCTGCGGCTGCTGCTGTAGCTGTAGCTGCTGAAGTTTCTGTTGCTGCTGCTGTTGTACGGGCAACGGCAGGGTTCGATGGGACGAGTCTGGGTCCTCCGATTGCGGCCGCGGCGGCGGCGGCGGCGGCTCCTGTTTCAGCTGCTGCTGCTCCAAAGTTGTGACGCGCGCCGCATCAGGCTGCTGCGGAGCGTCCGGCGCCACCGCCGCCGCCGCCGCCGGGGCTGGTGACGCCGCCGCCGGCGCTACCCCCGCCGGCTCGAGACCCACCCAGGATGTGTGCTTAGCCTCCGCCGCCTCCGCCGCGGCCTCCTCAGCGACTGTCGAGGCGGCGGCGGCGTGGGGCCCCTGGTTCACCAAGCCCTGTATTACCTGGCCCTCGCAGCCGGGGGCTGGCGGGTGGTGGCCCGGCTCCACCTGCCCCATCTCCTCCTGCTGCTGCTGCTGCTGCTGCTGCTGCTGCTGCTGCGACACTGAGAATGTCTGCCTGTCTTCCGGCGAAGGCTGCGACAGCGGTTGCAAAAGCGGTTGGCTCCCAACAGCAGGTGGTTGTACCAACGGCCCATGAGCAGCAGCAGCAGCAGCAGCAGCCGCGTCCTGGGCCCCGCAGGGGCTATGCCGGGGGGGAGACCGTAACGCCATCAGGCCACCGCCACCAAACACGGGCCGCCGCCGCCGGCTAGATGGACTAATTGGCTGGATCGAGATAGTTCCTGAAAATCCAGATCCGGATCCGACCGCCGTGGATTCAGGTTCAGGTTCGGACCTGAGCGCGGGTCCATCTGCATCATCGGCGCGCGGCAGCGGCGTCTCTCTTTTGATCACTGGATCATAATTCCCTGTGGCTGGTTCACTACTGTTGGACCCAAACACACTTCCGTTGCCGCCGCCGCCGCCGCCGCCGCCGCCACCGCCGCCGCAAGGCCCGGGTTGCACACGCTGCTGTTGGACCTGCGGTTCGCTTAGTTCTTGAAACGTCCGTGAGTCCGAATCGGAGAGCTTCATGTAGCCTGCCTGGATGGGTCCAGGCCGCGCAGAACAGCCGGGGACCAGTACGGGAGAGTGGGTGGGAGGGTGGGACGGCGAAGAATGGGCGCGTGAAAAGTAAAACCTCGGGCCGATGATAGTGATGAGTACAAACTGACGAGATACTAGTCAAGGGGAACGAAAGTAGGAGGAGGGATATGGGGGAAGGCTGGTGGAAAGAGAAGGTGGGGCGAAGCGTGCGTCCTGTTGTGTATGGTACGCCGCGTGAGATGTGACCCGTGGGTCAGAGCAGCAGCAGCAAGGGCATCCCCCCGTTTCCGCCCCGCGCGGTCTGCCTTGCCTTGTGCAAGGACAGAAAGTGACATGGATATTTAAGGATGGTACCGGACCTGTTTCGTCAGAAGAAGGAAACCCGCACCGATCGCTAATCTGTATCGACAAGGCATTGGACAACACTTTCCCCGCGCACAAATCGTTTATCAGTCCTAATGCCGCATAGGACGCTCAAAAAACACCTGTAATCTACCGTATGGGCAACGCAAAGCTTTTGTGGTTTTTGGCCCTTGGAAGGCAGAGCTACTGCAGCCCTTTAACACTGTCAAGTTTCGCCCGTTTCAGCAGGAGAACAAAACAAATCAGACTTATCAGCGTAGGAAACACGATCCCGACCGACCGACCGATCTCACCTTATTGCTGTTCCTGCTAAATAATCTTACGCAGACACGGAAAAAGTTGACGTGCAGCCTCCGTCTACTGCTCCTTTTTCTTGCCCTTCGGCTGTTTCCATGCGTTCCGGACCGATTGATAAGGTAGGTGCTACTGCAAGGAAAAAAACTTTATCGGCCACGGAACTTGGCTGGTCGGCTATCGGTGCGAAGCAGGAATCTTCCGCGGTTATGGCGCCTTCGCACAATACGACGCAATCCGCTTTGAGCGTTAGCACAGAACGCTTGGGTCACAGCAACACCAAAAGATAGCCCTTGACGAACAAAAAACATGCAGACATGATGGGTGCAAATGCATGTGGTTTTGCTGTGGATTGCCTACTGGTTCTCTCCGATGAGAGGGAGGGCTCGTTCCGTTGCATCACAGCAGAGAAACGATGACCGAAACTGTCAAGGTAATATTATACAAGGACATATTCGTGAAATCCGCGATCCGCGCGGTCTTATCCCAGGCCTGATCTGTCGATGCGCCGCGACCCGATTGAAATATGTCAGACCAGGTCAGACGTCATGCTGCGTGCTGCATAACTGCGTCTTTGCCCGGGCCCAAAGCACGCATGAAAATTACATGTGTTGTTATATGCTGATATGCTCTTAATGGCTGTACTCTGAGGCAGGGGATTGTCATTAACAGGGGATTGTCATCGTCAGGATGTAACGGAGACTTGAGGCGCGCTCGGACGCCACGCGCACAAAATGTTCCTTGCCCTCTTAAATCCAGCTATTTCGATTCACTCCCCACCGTATTTTAGCTTAAACTCTTACGCAGCGGCTAAACTTATGGCGGGGAAGCTATGATGGCGCGACGTCACGACTGCTTCACACCGGCCGCCGCACCGCCAGCCGGCCCCAGTGAGCCCTGCCTCTAGCAGAGCAGCTGCCTCAAAGCAGCAGTGAGCGCTCAGCCTCGATAGCCCTTCGCTATAATCATGAAGCGTACCTCCAGGGCAGTAAACAGTGCCCAACATCAACAGGTCAACAGCGACGGGACCTTGCTCGCACATGTTTACGTGCCATCACAACGGCACACATTCTGTAGCCTCAATAGTAGTGTAAGCACTACAGGTGGGTTGTGAGCGGATTGGGTTCCGGGTTATGGAAACTTTCCAGGCCAGGTGCTGTGGCGTCTGCGGCGCCCTTCACCTCCACGGCGGAGGGGCTTTCCAGGGTAGGATTACTTCCTTAAGCAGCAGAACGAGCTGGAGGAGGAGAATGCAGTACGTTTGAAATAGCTGTATGAATCATTGGTTAAGAGTTCTAGCTGGCCAGGTCACCGCGGCAGGGAGACGTGGCAAGGTGCACAGCGTTGGGGCTACCGTCGAGCAGTGCACAGCATTGGGGCATGCAGATGTGAGCGGTATCGCACGTAATCGAGGCATGCATGAAGCTTTGCTTGCAGCGACATGGAATAGCGGAGGGAGACTGTACGGGCGTTTGTGCTACTACGTGAAGAATTCTGTCTGCAATTTCGACACCACACACATCTGGCTGCTGGCCGTTACTCAGGCGCAACGGTCCCTAACGGTCACCATAACGGTAACGGTTACCGCGCATCGACAGTTTCTGAGGGTTGACCCTCGCGGCGGCCACAGAAAGGACAACACAGGACAGGTAGGAGCTCCGGCAGCCGCTCTGCAGCAACACAAAAAAGCGCGCGCACAGAATTGTAGGACTGCAGGCGAATGGCAGCTGGCTCGGTACCTTGCTACCAGCAGCAGCGCAAAGACGGACGGCAGGCTGCAAAAATAAACGATGACATCTGCAGAGAGGGAGGCACATACACATCAGGGCGGCAGTTGAGCAACACATCCTGACTCCCTTTACGAGCTGCCGAGCAGTGCCTTGCCATCCAATCTGGAGCTGCAGTTTCTTATCTAGCAGGGGGGCCTCCCGGGACGTATACACGTTTCCTGATCCAGCGCCCACCGCCGCCTCTGCCCACCACCACAATCTTAACGACGATGACGATGACGACACGATGTACCGAACCCCGCTCCTTCTCCCCTAGCTCCGCCCCCACCCATGCGACGGCGCCTTCCATGGTCTGCATTGACCTTTCCATATTGCTACTGCTGCTGCTACTGCCGCCGACTGCGGCAACATCATTGCCCTTCGTGGAGTGCGCGCCCACACTCCCCCTATCCATCCATCCATCCATTCTTATTTGCACGCGCACCTCCCTCCATGCACAGCACCCATAAGCGGGGCCCGGTCGTCTGGCCCTCAACAACCGTGTCTACCCCGCGCTATGGGACACGACGCCGCCTCCGCGCCCCGGTCTCCCCTACGAAGTCCCCCCCAGCAGAGCAGCAGCAGAAATCTGGTGCCTCCCAATCCGAGGCCCATGCGGCCATGAGACCCTTTCGCCCTCGACCGCGAAGGAATTCCCTCCAGGCCAATGAATGCTGGTAGCAGCAGCGCAGTGGTAGCAGCAGACGAAACACTACTGCTGCTGATGGTGGTGCTGGTGCTGGTGCTGCTACTGCTGATGCTGCAAGGTATAACCACGTTGCCTGTTTTGTCCATACGTCTGTTCGTCCGTTCCATGCCTCCTCTCCACTTTCTCCGCCGTAAGGTCTGCGTTCACGTGTCGTTTCCTCGGAACCCGCCTGCTCCCAAACTCTCCACGTCCGCTGCACACATACACACACACACTCTGGCACTCCCTTGGGCCCCCCATATCATCTCCACCTCCACCGCACCCCCCACACACTACAAAGTCGAATAATCTAAACCACCTCACCACAGTGGCACCGCGCCCACTCAACCCACCTCCCACATCTCCCCACGCCCCCATCCGCTGGCGCCTTAAAAAAGCCCTGCCAGCAACAAGTCTTTCCCTCTCCACCCAAGCACGATGCTCCTTAAGGTGAACTCAACACCCGAAACACAAACCCGACCCTCCCCCTCTCCCCAACCCGTCGAATCCGAGCCCCGCTCAGCCCCCCCGGCGCCGCTCCCCTAGGTCCACCGCCGCCGCCAGCTCCTGGGGCAGCAACGCCGCCTGGGCCGCCTGCCGTGCCCTCTTGTTGCGGCGGCACAGGTCAGCAAACTCCTGGCAGGCGGCCTCCCACCCGCTGTCGTAATAACCGCCACTGCCTGCTACAGCAACCGGGAGGTGGAGGACCAAAATGTGCATTGGCAGCAGCAGGAGCAGCAGCAGGAGCAGCAGCAGCACGACCAGCAGGATCGGCCATGTTTTTACGTAAGGAGACGGGGTGCTTCTACGTAAAGGGGCCGTATTACTTGTAGTATTCCTATCGTCGTCTTCCCTTTTCCCCCCCCCCGTAACTGCATAGGCAGATGCGCGCAATATCCGGGCCCCCGCTTCTCATGTACCGTGCGCACTAGGGCACTTGCCCATTGGCGGAACCCAGAGTTCACACGGGTTCATGGAGCAGTCCCGTGGGTCACTGTGGTCTTTTCAAACCCATCCAGGAAGGGATCCCACCCTACAACCTCCACCCCGCCGTCCGCCCCGAGCCGCTCACCTCCGTCTCCGTTGGCCATCATGTCGCTGTCCTCGGGGTTGGGCCCCGACCGGGGACCAGCACGCAGAGCCGCAGTGGCGGCACCCAGGAAGGCCTGTGTGCGCGGTTGGGGTTGCTTGGTTAGCAGTTAAGAGTCGGTCGGTTATGACTAGGGTCGGGTCGGTTGGAGTTTATCGCGAAAGCTTTGGCGTGCACAGCAGTTGTAGCAACGGTATTCGTTGAAGTGGGTTGGGACAGTTTGGGGTCGTTGGGGCTGCTTCCCGTCACACACACAAGACGTGGTTCTGTAAGCTGTGTAAAGGACAGACATATATACACTGCCACAAAGAACACGCAAAGGAGCGCACGTTTCGGGTTCTTCCACAGCATGTCCGAGATACGAGGGAAAGCAGGGACATACACCACGTACGCGCACACCCAGAGCACGCATCGCATGCAGACCACGGGTTAGCCACGGATTAGTAAGAAACACGTTCAGAGAGACACACGCCCAGGCGCTCCGACACACACATACACACATACATACACACATACATACACACACATACATACACACACATACATACACACACATACACACACCTGCTTGTCGCTCGACGTCGCCGCCACGTCCGGCACCGCCTGCAACGCCGCCGCCAACCACCCCATTCCCTGGCTCGATCCCACATCCACCGAGCCCCCGCCCCCGCCCCCGCTGGCCGCCCTCGTCGCCCCAAACCCCACCACACCGATCAGCGCCGCCCCCACCACCGACACGCGACCCAGCGGCAGCGTGCCAGAGATACCCGACAGCAGCAGCCGGACAAAGATAGGCGCGCGGGGCAGCAGGTGAGCCCCGAGCACGTCGGCGGCGGTGGACGGACAGCGAGCGAGGGTGGTGGGTGACGTGAGGCGAGCGATGAACCCCAGCACGGAGCCGTTGGCCTCCCGGTGCTGCATCACGCAGCCAATCTGCATGTTGGAGGAGAGAGAGAGCCACGTATAGGGAACGAAGGGCGCCGGCATCGGCGACGGCGCGAGTAGGTAGGGGATGAAGAGGGTGTAAGGAAGGAGTCATTACTCTACTAGCACCCAGCACTCCGCAACGAAGACAAATTTAGGGGGTCTAGGATTTCCTAGCGCCATAGGGTGCCTGAGGTTCCTCCTTACCTGCCGGCTCCTCCTCCTCTCCGCAAACCCCAGTACGTTGCCGGTCCTTCATCGCCACCACGTGCTGAGCCCCCTCCTTTCCCCCTAGGCCGTTCTCCCCATCATGCGCGTCTTAATAGCCTCTGCCTTCCCCTTCCCGACCCCCACCCAACACACATCAACGTTAACGTTCTTACTCTTGTACCACTTCTCACCTATCACTTGTTTTTTGCGGCTCGAATCATTTCAAGGCATGCACACATACACACATACATACATACACACACGCACCATTGCCACGTCCAGCAATGTGACCAGCGCGCGGCAGTCCGCCCCGGGAGGCCCGGGGGGCGCCAACAGCAGCCGCGGCGCGTAGCCCAGCGCCCTCAGCCCCAGCAGGAACAAGTCGTCCACCATGTCGGGTGCGGAGGTGAGGGCGGCCAAGCTGGTCAGGGGCCTGCAGGGGGAGGGGGCACGTGAGGCGGGAGGTCTCATGGTACAGGAAGTAGGCCACAAGAAACCCCGGAGTTCGCACGAGGTGTATGTATGTTGTTACAGGGTGGTTAACTTCGCCAGCGGCCCCCTTTCCCGGGGCAGTCCCTGCTCTCCCCTGCTAGAGGGGCACCCTAATCCGTCACCCCATCCGACTTCAGAATGTATTCGTTGGGTTCGGCAACTCACCACCAGCATCAAACCAAATCTAGCGGATCAACGGCGCATCAACTTAGTTCCTGGTCAGCTCGCAAGTTGATATTATCACGTCCTACACCGTCCATATGATGGGGGGCCACCTCCCATTTCATCACTCCTCAATCACCCGAGGAGCTGGCAGGCGGATTTGAACCCGGGTCGACTGGATCGACTGGGAGCAGAAGTCAGGCCTTAACTTCTGCCAGCCGCCTGCCATAAGGTGTATGTATGTATGTATGAATGAATCTGTGAATGTATATATGAATATATGTATGTATGTATATATGTGAATGTATACATGAATGTATATGAATGCATGCATGCATGCATCTGTATGTGTATGTATGTATGTGCATGGAGGGGAGGAAATCCATCCTTCCTAGCACCCCACCACCACCACCACCACCACCACCACGACCACCATCCCCCAGCCGCACCATCCACCCTACCTGCCCGCCTCCGTAATAAGTCCCGCCAAAATGAGCGCCAGGGTGCTGTCCTTAGACGTGTCATCACCGAAGAACTTTACCAGCTCAGAAACGATGAAGCTGTGTGTGCGGTGTGGGGGGAGGGGGGTAGGGGGAGCCCGGAGGAGAAGTGTTAAGGGAAGGAGAACGATTGCACGGGAAGCGCGTGACTTATAACGTCAGCAGGAGGAAGGGGATTCAAAAGGAGCATTTTTGGACATGTGGTTC